GCTTATGCTTGGTAAAACACAAGAGTTAGGGTTATTATTATTACAATACGTCTTATATTACACAACTCATAACGTTTGTTACATGTTATTTACATTTTATTGATTTATCTGTAGAACAAAATTAAAATATAATTTTTGCAAACATTCTACACAAGTATTGTAAAATGAAGATTAAACATCATTTTTGCTCTTCGAACGGTGAAAATTTAATGTTAATTCAGAAAAATTCCCTACATTCAATTCACGGGTTCTCGATGGTTTCTATTTTCGAAAATTTTTGGTCTGATTTGTGTTTGATCTTCAGCATGGTCTTGACTTGCAGTAGTAGTAGATGATATGAGTAATCTTATCATTGAAAGACTTTTAAAATTTCACTAATTGAGGGGAGAATGGTGATTATCTAGTGATTTATTATAAACGGCTTCTTTGTTCAGGAGAAAGGTGTATACACCCCCTGCCAAAAATATAAGCACAACACCAAATTTTCTATTAAAACATATTAAACTCATTCACATTTAATTTTGAAAATCTCTATTGTCCATACGTATTGTGTATAATGTCGTGCCGACTATCGCGGGAAAGCAGGTAATAATCGACACTTGGAATTTAGCTAGTATCGACGGAGCGTGGTGCCTCCTCCTTCTAGTTAAATTTCTGGTTTACAGTTAGTGACCTCGTCAATTCAAGGCTTTCCACTTACGAACTATTTCATCGTAGAATGACGTTAATCCTAGATAAGTAGTCGCTCTCGAGTGTATCGTCGGTTATTATCGAGGAATTAATCCGAGGTACAATGGTGTATAAATCATAATAATGCGCATCTACATAACAATTATAATTAATTATCGTAATTTGCCACTCGAATAATCGCGGGACAAGAGGCGATTATTCTTCATCGATATAGGAATTAACGGTTTCTCAGCTATACCGATAAGTTACCAGGCCAGGGAATGAATCATTAACAATGTATTTCAGAATATAAAGAACTACTCATTTATTTACAATAAAGAAATCGAGAGTAATTAGACATGCACTTATTGACTGACTATTTATTTAACTGAAATCTACGCTACTTATATATCTTTCGAGCGACTAATTGATCTATTTTTAGCAGCTACCTTTAGTAACGTCTACATGATGTTCGTACTCCCACAATGTTTGTACCCCTTACTGAAAAATTCCGCAGCTGCGCTGGTGCTACGGTTGTCGATCGCATTGGTTGTTGCGGCGCGGAACGCAGAAATTCAGGAGAGAATACGTCACCGATTATAGCGTTAGTATACTATTATAGCGTAGCATTACAGGTATCAAAATTCCAATTGCACATGATCTTGGGTAAAACACAAAAAAGCCTTTTTGACCTCTCAACAAGTGTGATAGTGATTACAATTAGTAATGTGGGAATTTTACTATTATAACACTAAATATAACAATAAAAGCTCTGTATGACATTTTGGTGAGCTCACAGCAATCTTAGCAAGGTATCCTAACCTGATTACAGTGACAATGCCACAATATTATTTCAAAGATGTCATGACAAGATTTTATCAGGGCAAGTTAGTTATGGCTCTATTAATGGGGTCCTGATGAGATAGTAATAGTAATAGTGGCAGTCTTAGTCTGATGTCACAGAAAGATTTACAGTAACTACAGGTTTCTGTAAAGTTGATTTAAAAATATTAAAAAAGAATTTGATTTCAGAGCCTTTGCCAAACCTGTAGCTCCTGTATATTCTATCTGATTGCTATCAAGGTGGAGAGATGTTAAAGAAGAATTTGATTCCAGAGCCTTTGTCAAAGCTGTTGCTCCTGTAACTCCTATCTGATTCCTATCAAGAATTAAGGATGTTAAACAAGAATTTAATTCCAAAGCCCTTGCCAAAGCTATTGCTCCTGTATCTCCTATTTGATTCCCATCAAGGATTAAAGATGTTAAACAAGAATTTGATTCCAGAGCCTTTGCTAAAGCTGTTGCTCCTGTACCTCCTATCTGATTCCATTCAAGAATTAAAGATATTAAAGAAGAATTTGATTCCAGAGCCTTTGACAAAGCTATTGCTCCTGTGTCTCCTATCTGATTGTTATTAAGGTTTAGAGATAGTAAAGAAGAATTTGATTCCAAAGCCTTTGCCAAAGCTGTTGCTCCTGTACCTCCTATCTGATTCCATTCAAGAATTAAAGATATTAAAGAAGAATTTGATTCCAGAGCCTCTGCCAAAGCAATTGCTCCTGTATCTCCTATCTGATTCCCTTTAAGGTTTAAGGATGTTAAACAAGAATTAAATTCCAGAGCCTTTGCCAAATCCATTGCTCCTCTATCTCCTATCTGATTCCATCCTAAAATTAGAGATGTTAAAGAAGAATTTGATTCCAAAGCCTTTGCCAAAGCCATTGCTCCTGTATCTCCTACTTTGTTGTCATATAAATCTAGAGACATTAATGAAAAATTTGATTCCAGAGCCTTTGCCAAAGCAGATGCTCCTGTATCTCCTACATTATTCCGGCTTATGTTTAGAGATGTTGCAGTGCAATTTAAATCTAGAACCTTCTGCAAAGCAGTTTTTATCTTTGTATGTGTAATGTGATTATAAACAAAGTTTAAAGAAGACAAAGAGAAATTTGATTCTAGAACCATTGCTAAAGTTGTTGCCTCTGTAGCTCCAATTTGGCAATAGCTCAGCTCTAATGTGCAAGTTGATATTGGTGGTTGGATAATTGATGGTTGAGTGATTGATGATTCAGTCATCAATGACTTGAGTAGTTCATTAACAGTTTCAACTGCTGGGCGTTTGTTAGGGTCTTCATCCCAGCATTTTGAATATAAATCAATATAACCTTTAGAGGTTCCAGGAAAAGGAGAATCACGAGAACCATTCAATCTGTATAACAAAATTTCATAATTAGTGGTAACCTCTTCACAGGGGATTTTCCCACTTGAAATTTCCCAAAGTATCACTCCAAGACTGAAGATATCTGATTGCTTCCCACATTTATAAGATTTATCTTTAAAGGATAATGGATCAATATATGCCATATTTCCTCCACCTTTTGATGAGGACATAGTCTTTTTGATAGTATTTGACAGCCCAAAGTCTGTTATCTTTGTGACACCTTCTTGGATAAGAATATTTGTTGATGACTATTTGAAGTGTATACAGTATAACAAATATAAGCATTAATCCAATATGAGATGGATAAAAGCTGTGTATCATCACATACCAAATCCTTGTGAATAATATTGAGTTTATGCAAATACAACAGCCCATCAGTAATCCCCAAAGCCAGCTTGTATTTGTCCTTCCATTTCAACTCAGAAAAGTATTTCTCCAAGTGTTCACACAATGTTCCACCATCTGCATATTCAAACACCATGTAGTAGGGACCAGATAAATCTATTTTATGAAATAGGGTAGAATAAATATAATTATTATGTACATAAAACGTAATATATAATGTCTACTATTAATTAATATACCTTGACATATTCCTAAGAATCGAATAATATTCGGATGACCATCCACCTGTTTATGCGTTTTCAGCTATTATATTGTAAAATAATTCAGTTTTATGCAGCCCATAAAGTTATGCAAATAATCAATAAGATGGGTAGCTATTGACAACCTCTTTGACAAACTGTTTATGTTCTTCTTCACATCCCCGTCGATTTCGAATCAAAGTTTTCATTGCAACTGGTTTTCCAGAATGCTTTATTTTGGCCTTGTATACAACACCATATCCACCATGAGCGATAAGTGTACGATCTAGGATATCATCTTCCGAATAGTGTTTGACAAAACCTTCCTGGATACTCTTAGCTAACCACTCCCTATATGTGTTGCTAGACGACATATTTTGGGAAGAATAGTTAAACGCAATGCTTCAAGCATACATAGCCAATACGATCGCAGGATATGTGTGATACGTAATACTAATACAGCCCTCTCGGTAATCCAATTCAGTGGGATATATTAATATTAATCTAGTTTGAATCTATTAGTCCAGACTGTTAGTTCAGACAATGTTTAGTTTAAGTTAAATGACTTTATTTTTCAGATTTGGTGTATAACAAAACACTCTACAAATTTTATTATGCTACATTATAAAATGTTTAGGTTTCTTTTCTCGGGGATTTACTTGATTCCCTCGGTATGATCTTGAGCAGTAGACGAGGAATCTTCTCCCGGCTGAAAAACTGTTAAAGTTTCACTAGTTGAGGAAGATTGGTGATTGTCTAGTGAAACGGCTTCTCTGTTCAGAAGCCTGAGGTGACGAAGCGGAGGAGGAAGGCATAAACAGCAACATTTCGCATGAGAGGTATATTTATTGTGATCAATAAACAAACGCCCCTGTATTTTTAATTTATCACAAGTAGTAATTAATACCTTGCGGTAGATAATGCATTTTCAGACTGTTCAACCAACAAAAACAAGAACAAGAAGCCCACTACCAAAAAGAAAGTGAAAAAATTAGTCAAGAAGCCCATATTCCTCAGGAAACTTTAAAGCAAACAAGTCTTTCATTATTAATTAATACCAGTCTTTAATAAGTAGTAGTAACGACATTGTTGTTATTATTTATAAAAATCACCGCCCGCGTGAAAGAGAAGGCGAGCATTGTCAATATGAAAAAAACCGTTTGAGATATACTGTATATCCTTCTAACTCGCCTCATTTGTTAATGTAGGCAGAATTTTGAAACAGTTGAGGCACAGAAGTGTCATCTCGGCATAAACTAAGCGTTATTAACAAATAATCCTATTGCTATAATAACTAATCCGAGAAGATCATGTGGATTATCGCAAATTTGACGTTATGGTCAAACATTTATCCCACACTTTTGACATCAACACGGTATAATTCCTATATAAGGTGTAATCTTCATTGTAAAGACCAACATTAATTCCGATTAAATACTATATATAGGAATATTCTGTACGACGTTAAAAGTGTGGGATAAATGTGTGGATTTCTTGACTATAATCTATTGTACTACAAGAAAAAGATGACATTCTGGAAACCGGGAACTATTGCACCAGGCAAGTACACATGTATATCTGCTATACGTGCGATAACAAAGCTGTCTGCTCATATATAACATAATGTTATCCAGGAATAAATGTCGACCGTGAAGCAGAAAGGGAGTCGAATGAGACTATAGTCACATTCGCAGACCGTCAGTCGACATTGTCCATTCAACAACAAAGGCAGATTTTGCCTATATACAAATCAAGTAAGATACGAAACGGATATTCATCGTGGAGAGTTATCATTTCATTCTCAAGATCTGATCGTTCAAATCGTGCGTGAAGGAAATCAATTGCTGTATCTGGTTGAAAAGTATCAAGTCACGATAGTGGTTGGACAGACGGGATCTGGAAAAACTACGCGTAAGTCTTATTCAACAGAGTTACGAGTACAATTACATGCCTCATGAACCCGCTCTTTGTTTAGAGTTACCCCAATATTTACATGAAGCAGGATGGACAGCTGGTCAGAGAGTAGTTGCGTGTACCCAGGTAATTCCATTACTTTGAGGCTTAATTGTCTGCTCAGAACATCAATTTATTGGTTCATGAACTCATTTACTTTGTCTTATGCCAAATTTCTTTACTTAAAGCCACGTCGCGTGGCAGCTACAACAGTTGCTCAACGTGTGGCTATTGAAATGAACGTACAACTGGGCCAAGAGGTATATTTAAGATCGTTGTATCCAGTTGTTTATTACTTTAGCGATACAATTAGTCTCATATCTTGATATGTAAAGGTCGGTTATAGTATTCGGTTTGAAGAATGTTATGATGTAAAGAAGACGCGGATAAAATACATGACTGATGGAATGCTATTTAGGGAGACATTGATCGATCCACTGTTGTCACAATATAGTGTTATCATGATTGATGAAGCTCACGAAAGAAGTTTACATACGGATATTTTATTTGGGCTATTAAAAAAGTGAGTAGTAACTTGATCAATTCTCGTTATCAGCATACTTTTTTAACATTTATTTATAATGTAGAATAATGAAGAAGCGTCCTGAGCTTAGAGTAATAATATCTTCTGCTACTCTAGATGCAGAAGCATTCTATGACTTTTTTAATATCAATACGACCGATGATACTTCAAAAGACAATGTCTCCATAATATCAATCGAGGGTAGAATGTTTCCCGTTGATATACACTATCTCGAAGAACCGTGCTCTGACTATATCGAAAAAGCAATAGAGACAGTGATGGACATTCATTTGAAAGTAAGCAAGATATCCTAATTTGCGTGTTATAGTCTACTCAATTACTACTAATTTGGATTATTTGATTCTTGAAAGGAAGGTACTGGAGACATTCTTGTCTTTCTGACTGGAAGAGAACAAATAGACAGCGCCGTTGAGGAGATTGCCAATAGAGCCATGAAGTACGTTTTGTATATAAGCGTTTGGTGACTGAGTTGAATATAACTGATACATTTTTATATAGCTTGCCCCGCTCCGCAATGAAGCTAGACGCGCTTCCAATATATGCTGGATTACCGGCAGAACAGCAATTACTGATATTTGAATCACCAGGATATAATACACGTAAAGTGATTGTCGCAACCAATATCGCTGAAGCATCTATTACGATAGAGGGAATTTCGTACGTTATCGACTGTGGATTTGTCAAAGTAAGTTTACAAAATAGAAACGATCAATAAGTTTACCGCCCCAGCTCTCGTAATGACATTACCAGCATTTTTTAGTTGCGTGCATATAATCCAAAGACTGGCATGGAAAGCCTAGTGGTAGTCCCCGTTTCAAAATCATCAGCTCAACAAAGAGCCGGTCGTGCTGGAAGACTTAAACCAGGGAAAGCGTACAGGCTGTATACTGAAGATTTATTCCGACAGCTACCAGATGCGAGCATACCAGAAATGCAGCGGTAAGATTTACGCTTGAGATGAGGAAATTGTAATATGAAATTTTGGATTTTTACTGATACAATCGATTTTCAATAGAACCAATTTGGCACAAGTGGTCTTACAACTGAAGGCTCTCGGTGTAGACAACATTCTTAGGTTCGATTTCCTAACGGCTCCACCCGCTCAGATGATGATTCGTGCTCTTGAGGTAATGCTCGGGGATGGAATAATGCATCTTAACTCGGAAATATTACTATTCGTCTTGAGAATGATTTCTGATAAAACGATACATTTTTCTTACAGTTACTTTATTCTTTAAAAGCATTGGATGATAATGGCAAATTAACCGTACCACTTGGAGTACAGCTGGCTGAATTTCCCGTTGATCCCATGCTCGGAAAAATAGTGAGCTGCTGTAATTGTCTTTTCAAATAATGAAGAGCGGCTTTCATCTAACAATCACTCGGTACATTTTAGCTACTGGATTCACCCCGTTTTGGATGCTGTACAGAGATATTGATAATAGCTGCGATGATTAGTGTTCAAGTATGCTTCAAGACAAGAGTTTTCCATCTACAAAAGCGTATTAATAATCATATTGTAACATGCTATAGAACGTGTTTATTATGCCATCTAATGCTACAGCAAAGGCCGAGAGTGAAAGAAGAAACTTTGCAGTCGAGGAAGGAGACCATTTGACATTACTCAATGGTAAGAATCATTTCAACTGTTGTAGCGAAAGAGCACCGGTACCGTTTAGATTTTGCTTGCCTCGTCATCTAATCATTAACTTTTCCATGTTGACAGTTTACACTGCTTTCACGACGCGCGGTCAGAAATCAGCCCGCTGGTGTCATGATCATTTTCTGAACTTTCGTGCTTTGTCCAGAGCTTTTTCTATAAGATCTCAACTGTTGAAATTTCTTAAAAGATTCAATATTCCTCTTGAATCATGTGGAAATGATACGGTGAAGATAAGAAAATGTCTTGTTAGCGGATACTTTGCTAATGCAGCAAAAATGATGCCAGATGGAAGTTTTAGGACTATCAGAGATAACGCTGTAAGAATTAGTAGTTTGTCATTTGGAGTTTGTCAAGTCTACGAACATTAATCCGTTGAATCGTACGTACAGACGTTACATATTCATCCATCGTCCGTACTGTTTACGAGAAATGCACCATATGTTATTTTTCACGAAGGTACCTGTCTGAAGGAGGAACTGTCATAACGTAGGCTTTCTTCTTTCTAACGTAAATTGTTATTTTACAGTTGTCGAGACTACGAAAGCATTTATGCGCGATTTGACAGTGATTGACCCAGCATGGCTATCTGAACTTGCGTGAGTAGTCAATTAGATGCTATATCATTAACTTGCCATTGGCACAATTAATAACCTCTTTTTTTCTTGTTATAGACCGCATTTTTACGAATTTAAAAAATGATCACTTCCAACACACTAGAACTTCCTAATAGGTTCGTTATACTAGTCAATGGGTTTTCAACTAAGGAATGGAGGAGAGAGTCTTTTGAGATGAATATATGTACTGTAACTTACTATAATAAATCATATTATTTCGTGCTCCTGCCGAATATATGTAATAAGATTACTGACTATAATAATGCAAAGAAAACTTGCACACCACGAATACGATGTTTTCATTCCTACATAAACCATTGAGGTATTCTTTCACACGCAATTTTCTTTGGCAGGGATGGTTTAATTCAGTCGCGCAGATCAATTATATATGATATTCACTTATGAAAAGTCTCTCTTTTCAAAAATCTTTCCCGTCCATGCATACTACGTAAATACTACTACTTTTCGAAAAAATTATTCATGTTCGCGTTTATCTTAAACACAGCATAGAACACATGTAATTATGTCTCAAAATACCCAAATCGCTCGGATTAACTGAATGAGAGGATAACGGCTTGTTTCCTGCAATACTGGGACAGAGAAGTTAACCTCTATCATACACAAATACAAAGACCCAAGAATATTTACAGAAACTCGCTTCTAGTTCATTACTATTGGAACTCTTCTGTGCATGGATCATTTTCAAGTGCTGGCTAAGTAAAGTTAATTCAGATATGTGTTGAGAACAGTCTCCTACTTGTTGATAATGCTGCTTACTTTACTGTTCACTACTTCCCTTCCAATACTACTTGCACATTTACAATCTTGTGATGCTGGCATCATTTATTCATTAAAGGTGAATTTGTAGGAAATCCCCAACTTGATATAATGAATGCAATACAATTCACTGTTGAGGGGATATAGCATGTAATGGGAGGTGCTCAAGACAGGTATCTTACCAATAGTCTACCAAAAGGCATTGAAGTTGAAGAGCAAGTTGTCCAAATTCTCATTGATTGTCTTCAAGTTGAAGAACCCATGTCAGCTGAGAGATTGATAATTGTATAGTGACTGAAGAAATACCAGCAGATGAAGATATTATTGAAATTGTTAAAGACACAGAAACCCTATGAGGAAAATCAGAATAAAGAAAAAACCTTGCTTGCAGAGATGACAAACAATATCTGGTAAACTTGCTGAAGATATAGTTGAAGAAAAGCTGAGCCAGAGTCTAGAGACATTAGAAGGCCTTCATAAAAGTAGTGACTACCCACAATCCTCTCTATCAAGTTAGTATCCCAGTCACAGACATTTTAATCCATCATTAACTGCTGCTGGCATTCCAAATGAAGTTGGGTATATTGTAGCAGACTCTTGTACACTCACTGCTAACAATTTTGTCATTGATTTATACAACATTCAACAATTGATTATGAAATGTTCCTGATATATGTTTCACTATTTCTATAGGGATGAATGCTTTTCTCTTACTCCACATCATCTATAAGCTGGGTTTGAACACATACTTTTGTCTAAGAATAGCAACTAATATATACTTGCTTATTGGATTGGATCCTTGGATTGGGTATTCTGCCATCTTATATATTTGGTGCAAAAAAATTTGGTTAATAAGATTTAGGCATTAGTATTAGTTATTCATCTTACTGCCTCTTTCCTCCACTTGGTATAATATTTGTTCAAATGCATTGCCTAAGTAGTCATCTATTTCTGATCAATTATACACTACCTTACAATGAATTTCACGAAACTTAACTTTACTATGAAAAGTCTTTCTTTTCAAAAATCACTCCTGCCCATGTATGCTATGCAAATGACAATAGTTCTTGTATAATTTTGAAGCTAATACTAATTTTTGAAAAAATAGCAATCCATTTGTTCTATTTTCTTGTTAGGACATTTAATTTGCCATTAAATAAAATGCCCAGCAGGGATGTGTTTGTTTGTTCAGTTTTTCAGTCGCAACATTGTAGAGCAGATGTGGTTGTGAGAACACATTCACGTGCCGATTTTTTCTGGTTAATGGTTTGGGAAAGCAAAGAGCGATGTAGCTTTCTTGTCCTGTGTTGATTGGTAGTTCCGTCAATCAGGGATTGGGGTTCTTAGATTATAAAGAAAGCGATATTCTAGGGTTAATTGACAACTTTCGCTTTTCTTCTTGTCTATCGTTCCCGAAAGATAATTAGTGTAAAGATGCGTGAGTGGTATAAACATCTCTGGCCTGTAACTCATAATGTATTGGGTGCGGGATTTCTACACAGCTGTGCACTCAGTTACGCAGCGACTTCCCCGATTAATCGTCAGTTTAGTGAACGATATAAATCGTAATTTCCCTTCAAATTCTTTATTTGTTCTTATAAACATACCTTACAATTAAAATATTCTAATAAAATCAATGTTTTGTCGTGCCAACAACAGCGGGAGAGCAGTATTTATAGTGATCTTTAATGCTAGCTTTCCTACTCACGACCCAGTGTCACTAATCCTCGATAATTAATCCATCCTCGAGTATGCCTCTGTTCTCTACCGGTAGAATTAAATCGGTAGTCTACAGGTTGGGGTATGATTACAACTATAACAAATGCGCATCGGTATGAATAATAACAATTAAATTTTCGTATTTGCCACGAGAATAATTACGTGATAAAGGGCGATTACTCTTAATCGATATAGGGATTAGCGGTTTTGCAATTATACCTATCACTATGATTATACCAGGGAACGAACCATTAATAATGTATTTCAGAGTATAAAGAACTACTCATTTATTAGAAATATTACAATAATAAAGAAATCGAAAGTAATTTAACACATACGCACACAGAATCTAGCTGAAATTTACGCTGCCTATATCTTCCGAGCTTTCTAATTGATCTAATTTAGCAACGTCTTATCTACTGCGATAATTATCCAACAGAATTTTGACGTGACGTAACACAGAATCTGAATGGTGTGTCAATCAGGAATTTATCCAACATGTTACACACGCGAAAATATTTTCTTTTTCACTGAAACCTGTCTATTTGTCCAGATTATTACCTAACAAAGAAAACATTTGCCGTGAAACATATCACCAACACTATTTCGAAGTTATCCTTTTTTGGTAGTTAATTGTCGGTGAAATGTACTGTCGGTGAAATGATTGTCGATGAAATAATACGGACCCTATTCCGATTATTGGACATATATTCTCCTGTGCTGCTACCGTCAGTTACGCCATAAATGATATTAGTCCTCACAGTCTAATTATAAATTTATTTCGTTCATTCCCTGGTAGAATTACCTCTATCCATCATCGCGTAAAAAAGTAAAACGCTTTCTCGCATCGACGGCCGATCTTGCTATCGATTTGTACGAACTTTGAACTAGTGTTATTATTTATATTTCTGATAAACACGTTTAGTGTAGAATAATTTCCCCGACCTACAGACTTTTGAAATTAATCCCATCGAAGAAGTACAGTAAACTAGTCTATAGTCCCTTCGTTTATAGTCACTATCTGCCTATAGTCACAAACAATTCGTGCCAAAACCATTTCATAAGAAATTACATTGCCTATAGTCACAATCTCTAATAAAATCTCCTTATAGTAATAGTCCCTATCACCAAAATCTCGGATCAAGATATAAGTACTGAACGCTGTCTATAGCCCATATGATCACGTGTTTGTTTGATTTTGTAAGACGCGGCGCTTTATTGCTCCTACAATTTCCCAAAAAAAACTAATGCTAGCAAGCGCCCAGCAATCTCTCTGGAGACAAAAAAAGACACTGTGATGTGTCTGTACAAACGGGATCACCCTAATTGTTCAGCAAAAAAATTGATGGAAACGTTTAACCTCAACGTTGACCGTTCAACAATCACTAAAATGTTAGCTGAATCAGAACGATGGATTAAAAGGATACTTCTGGCGAAGCTGGACAGCTAATGAAAAAGAGAAAAAAATCATTTGTTTTCGTCAACTGAATATGAAACCCCTATCCCTTCCCGTTACTTATCGTAACAATCCAAAAGCATGGATACACAGAGATATCTTCAGCGAATGGTTAGCCTCATTGAACAGAGAAATGCGTCAGAAGAACAGAAAAATTCTGTTAATAGTTGACAATAACTTTCGAACACTATATTCTGAACATTATACTTATTTTCATAAAAAGAGAAACATGAAGGGAAACGGATAATAATAAATGAATAAATCACGTGCCATTGTCTACAATCCCCTCAGTCTATAATCACCAAAATGGGCTGCCAAAGGGTGTGACTATAGACAGTAGTTCACTGTAGACATAAGAACTCGAGTTTAACGTACACAAGACCGATCAAGCACAGTAGTATCTGCCAAGGTCACTAATTGTTATTTATAGATTTAACATTTGTATGGCCTCGTTCGAAGAGTTAAATCTCAAAGCCACCACGTGCATTCATTGGATCGACATATGTCGAAAGTAAATATGAAGTATAATGTGATATAATAAAATAAAAAGAAGAAAAATAGAAAATATAACTGCTGTATGTCAATGGAAATCGACATATGTCAGGTTGGAATTATTCGATTCTGAATTGACATATGTCAAGTTGGAATTTATGTCAATTTGGAATAATATGTAGATTAGATAAAAGATATTAATTAAACAATGTCAATTATGCATGTATACTAATGCTGCTATAAAAACGGTTGTCAAGACTAATTATTATAACAAATAAGTGATCGTGTTCTTAGTAACGAGTTTATTAGTATGTATTGTAAGAGTCACTTAAGTATTGACTCTATGACTATCAAACTCGATTTTGTTTGTTAAGTTATATCTACCAATTATTTGCTGGATATTGACAGTAATTTAGTAGTTTACGGTTAGATAGTAATTTAGTCGCTTTTGTCAATGGGTGTGGACTAATTATCTAATCATACGATGGTTTTTGCTTGAAATTATTGGTACAGGTTTTAGCATTGTTGTATCTCAGTTGGGGACCTGTGGACTAAGACAGCTGAGTTCTAGACTGAGCGTCTGGGCCCGGTCCCGAACTCAGATACAACAGCATTGTAAGTAAAGTCTATTTGACGATGATTTACATTGAAAATTATTGGTACAAGCTTTTAGACTGTGAATATTGCCAATGTTGATCCAACCGCATGTTGATCTCATTGAAATTATTGGTGTAATTGTTAGCATTACGGTTGGACTGTAAATATAGTCTATTCGTGCATCGAAATAATTGGTGTAATTTTTAGCATCACGGTGGTTAGACTGTAAATATAGACTTGATCTAATCGCACGATGATTAGATTGCTATAATATTTGTCTAGCTATTATACAATATTGCACTCTGGCAGGTTAAACATTTGACCCCCACTATTTAATTATGCGATAGAATTTTCTCAAATGCTTCGACACTTAACACTCGACAGACATAATACTGGTTGAAAGACATTTGCCTCTATACTAATGATAATACAAACATCAAACAAGTTATTGAACAGATTATATTGTCATAATGAAAATGTATGCGGAGGAAATAGTGTAAAGAACATCGATGCAGTTTAGCAACGTAACAATGATATAACTATATTTCTCACACCTTATACGATGTAATTTTGTATAAGAGCTTTATCTAATAATTCATAAGTCACTATAATATTACATTCTTATGAGGTTGATGATCAAGCGACAACAGTAAATATGATATACACAGGCTGGTTAATAAATGACATATCATGTTAAATAGTATATTAATCACAAGTTGTTTATGAAAATGCCTGTTTCAGTATTTTAACTATATAGAACTGCTGAAGTAAATCGCAATAGCAAATAAAGAAACATGTACCTAATAATGTAATATTAACAGTATCACCTAATATTTAGATAATAGTAGCGAACGAAAGTTCGGGTTGTAATAAGCTCATTTCTTTTTGCTGAAACGAACGGTTAGATATGTGAGAACTGTGGGATTGAGTATTACGATATAATATGGTTAACACATATTGCATACATTGTTTTGATAATAAATAATAAAATACGTTGCGTTCATAGATTATCCAATTCCAATCTGACATATGTTGACGTAAATTCCAAACTGACATATGTTAATTTAGAATCGACATAAATTCCAATCTAACATATGTGAATTCCCAAATCGACATAATTCCAAATTACATAAAGTGATTTTCCAAAATAAAGTATGTTTAGGTATTGTACCCATTCTTAGGTATACACATATTGTCAGCTATTGTATTTGGCTATTCAAAATATTTGTCTTGTCACTGCCCCCGGTTTAAAGTATAACTTTCTCTTTTTCTTAAATTCGCATATTCTAACTGACTGTAACCAAAAGTAATGAATTCTGACCACATGCATAGACTAAATCAAAATGGGTTTGGATCCGCGGTAATCATTTTTTGCCAAACTTAAAGTCATTTGCTTTAAAAATAACAGGTTTTTGTACAACAAGTGTGTAACCAGAACTATTTATAGTTACGTGATCAACTAATAGATAGTAGAGACTTTTCACTATCGCTTAAAACAAATAATAATAACCTGAATGTTCTCCATGTTATGAATAATCGATTAATTTATTATTACCTTAGTGATCAGATAGAAGAATTGCAACAGACGGAGACTTTGTGATTAAAAATCGATAATTCCTCCGTTGATAATTGGAGCTGGAAAACACGTGAATATTTACATTGTCAACAAGTTATTCTATTAATAATTAAGAAAAGACGAGAGTTTAAGGGCTGATTTATCAGTAATCATGATTATTGTCCATCAAAAAATGAGCAAATTATTCAAGCTCTTGTCAACTCTCACATGAAATAAAGTTTGGTCCACACTATTTTTAGTTCAAAAGATGTATGTGCATAGACGGACATTGTCGGCTTTTCAATTATAGAAATAAGACGGGAATAGGATGTTTACGAAGCATTACCTAAAAGACTTGGGAGAATGATCAGCGAAAATGCGCCATCTGGTATCCAAATCATGCCGTTGCTTTGCATATAAAAAAGCTTGCATCGTCTTGCTGCTTGTTTTCGAAGCGCGGTATCTTTTACGATCATGGAAAAATGGAGTTCGCAGGTAAGATGTCAAATACGTGTATACTAACTTTACTATTACTCTTTCTTACTCATTTTATTTGTATGTAGGAAGACGCTGTTGTTATCAAACTCTACGAAGTATGCGGCCCCCAATGGGTGACTATATCCCGTACGTTAGGCGGTGTCAAGTCTGCTCAACAATGTTCACAAAGGTAAACATGTTAACTAGGCATTTAATATCCGTTGCAACATTGTTGTATCCTACATATTGACATAATTTTGAACGATAAATTCCCTACAACGTTCATGTTGATACAGATGGCATAGTGCGCTACGTTCCGGAAGTAAGTAACCTTTCAGATTTACATAATGCTGTGACTACCGTTATAATATAATAACCGTGTCGTTCTATTTTGAATAAACTAGTTAACAAAAGCCCGTTCACCACCTTTGAACATGATACAGTTAGACGGCTGTATGAAGTCCATGGTCCTAGGTGGGCTAGAATTTCTTCATACTTCCCTGATCGAACTCCAAATATGATAAAAGCCAGTCGAGAAGAGACACAAGTGGAACAAGAACGTATTCACGCTCAAATGTCGATAGAACGTCTACTAAACTAACATTGTTGTTATTATTATTACTATGACTGTTACATATGTATTATCTTTTTCGATTTTATAGGATCTCTATACATATGTACAGTATTATCTTTTTCGATTTTATAGAATCTTTATACATATGTATTATCTTTATTTCATGTTAAAATTAAGCATAAGGTAACACAGGACACGTGAAATATGAATAAACAAATTAAGATTGGAAACCGATACATTTCTGTGTAGCCAAATAAGGAATATGCATACAACACATGTGCTCTGATTTATTAAAAATTCTAATTTTAACCAACTCCATTGATTGCGGGGTTCTCGTAAGACGGTTACAATCAATACGAGTACTAGTACTAATACGGAATTTCATGCAGGAGAGTTCAATGCACAAGACTATTTATATTATTAAATTATACTTTATCGATCAAGTGACATAACCCGCGGGATAGACGGGTTCTATAACGCATGTCCGAGAGGATAAGTTTGCCTCACTCCCCGTTCTGACAACCATTTTATACCCTAGATGAGGAATTATCCTGATCCAGTCTTTCAGCAATACGGAACCCCATGTCGAACCTTAGATTGGGTCCGTCCTAATCGAGAATCTTTGGAATTATTTAGACTATTAGGTACGTAAACAAAAACTTCTGCCTCTGAAAAAGTATAATTATCGCCTGCCACGCAGTAGACTTGGGTTCGATTTCCAGGATTTAACAACTGCGATTCAAGGCGTAGAGATGTTGCGAAATTTAATTATGAGCTTTACACACCACATAGATAGATGCTGATAAAGGTGGAAACACCAGTATTAGCTTTGTGATTTTTATGTATACAACGATAAAAGCAGTAGTTCGTGAGAGTTCTTTCCGTTGCTTGAAATTGTCAATGTCAATTTCGATTTATAGGATCTTTATTGACAACTATACAGGGAAACTGCTAAAGCTGTTTTTAGACAGCTAGTACATGAGAAAGCATATGCTATCTACATTACTAACTGAATCAATAAAGAAACTTGGCCTAATGCCTGGTATTTATGTGATAATCTGAATGGAAGGAATGGATAATGCTATTTGATTGTTGATGATATAGTCAATGTCAATTTCACACGTGACACAAGATGATGTGATGTATGCAAATAGTCAAATCTATGTCTCAAATGTAAAGGTTTCTTCGACATGTACAAAGGCATTACTTTGGGTGCTGGTGGGTTTGGTCCATTATCTAGAAAGTATGTGTTGTTTAGAATCTTGGATTCCTGATATTCAGTTAAACCTTGAACCTCCTCAAACTTCTTCTCAAGACGACAAACGACATACCTTATTCAGTTAGATCATTGGAGTATCGAGTAACAATTCTGAAGATGCGCTCTTGACAATGACAGAACAGTAATTACTTATATTTGAACCATCAAGATATAATCCACGTAACCGATTGTTGCAACTAATATCGCAGGAGCGTCTATTACAATAGAGGGAATTTCGTACGTCATCGGCTGTGGATTTGTCAAAAAGTAAGTTTACAAAATAGAAACGACTAATAAGTTTACTGCGTAATGACATTAACAGCATTCTTTGGTTACAATCCAAAGACTGGCATGGAAAGCCTAATTGTGGTCCCCGTTTCAAAATCATCGGCTCAACAAAGTGCTGATCGTGCTGGAAGGAAAGAGTATAGGCTGTATACTGAAGATTCGTTCCAGCGTACCATAAATGCAGCGATAAGATTTACGTGTGAGATGAGGAAATCGTAGCATGAAATTTTGGATCTACTATAGAATCGATTTCAATAGAAGCAATTTGGTACGAGTGGTCTTACAGCTGAAGGCTCTCGGTGAGACAACATTCTTAGATTCGGGCTCCCCTGCTCAGTTGATGGAAGGTCTAATGGTAGTCCCCGTTTCAAAATCATCGGCTCAACAAAGAGCCGGTCATCTGGAGGCTTAAACAAGGGAAAGCGTATTAGTATAGGATGTATATTAAGGATTCGTTCCAGCACTACCAGATGCGAGCATACCAGAAATGTGGCGCGGTAAGATTTAGGCTTCAGATGAGGAAATCGTAGTATGAAATTTTGGATTTACTGATAGGATCGATTTCAATAAAAGCAAGTGGTCTTACAGTTGAAGGCTCTTGGTGTAGACAACATCCTTAGGTTTGATTTCCTAGCGGCCCCCCCTGCTCAGTTGATGATTCGTGCTTTTGAGGTAATGCTCGGGGGATGGAGTAATACTAATTCATGACAAATTCGGAAATGTTGCTATTCGTCTTGGAAGGTTTCTGATAAAGCAATATATTTTCTTACAGTTACTTTTTCATTAAAAGAAGTTGGCAGTGGATTGGGGGAGATGAAATTAGAATATAAAATCGATCACGGGATATTCATTTCTCCAAAAGTTGATCCTATAATGAAGAGCGGCTTTCACCTAATAATCACTCGGTACATTTTAGCTACTGGATTCACCTCGTTTCAGAATGTAGTAAAGGGATATTGATAATGCTACAGCAAGGCCGAGAGTGAAAGAAGAAAGTTTGCAGTTGAGAAGGGAGACCATTTGACGTTACTCAATGGTAACAATCATTTCAACTGTTGTAGTGTAAGAGCGCCAGTACTGTTTAGATTTTGCTTGCCTCGACATCTAATTTTTCACTTTTCCATATTGACAGTTTACACTGCTTTCACGACGCGACGGTCAGAAATCAGCCCGCTGGTGTCACTGAACTTTCGTGCTTTGTCAAGAGCTTTTTCTATAAGATCCCAACTGTTGAAATTTCTTAAAAGATTCAATATTCCTCTTGAATCATGTGGAAAAGATACGGTGAAAATAAAAAAAGATTATCTTGTTAGCGGGTGCTTGCCAATGATGCACAGATGGAAGTTTTAGGACTATCAGAGATAACGCTGTAAGATCCAGTAGTTTATCACTTAGAGTTAGTCAAGTCTACGAACATTAATCCGTTGAATTGTACATACAGACATCACACACACAAAGGTACATGTCTGAGGAACTGTCATAATGTAGGCTTTCTTCTTTCTAACATAAATCGTTATTTTACAGTTGTCGAGACTATGAAAGCATTTATGCGCGATTTGACAATGATTGACCCAGCATGACTATCTGAACTTGCGTGAGTAATCAATAAGTTATTATATCATTAACTTTGGATTGGCACAATTAATAACCTCTTTTTTCTTGTTATAGACCGCGTTCCATTATACTAGTCAATGGGTCTTTCGACCAAGGAATGAGGAGTCTTTTCGAGATGAATGTATTTTTTGTAAACCTACTATAATGAAGCATCTTATTTCGAGCTCCTGTCGAATGTAATTACTGATGTAAAGGCCGCAACCGTAAACAATCTCCGAAGTGTCGGTCCGGTACCTTTTCACACGCGATATTTTTTTAAGGCCACTAAATAAAATGCTGGCAGGATGTGTTTGTTTATCCAGTTTCTTTCCCACCACCGATCATGACAATCAGCGTGAGAACACATTCACGTGTTGGTTTGAGACTGCTTTGTGTAGAGTTACTAATTTCTTAGGCATGGTAGTAAGCTCTGCATAATAAATACCAGATTCAATTTTTTAAGGTTTGCCGCTGAATACTTGATGCTCAGTACACCTGAAGAGCATCCCAACGTTTAATATGTGAGAACTATGGAATCAAGTATCATGATACATTACGATATCAACAATATACAGTAAGTATCATCATTATAGTCTTGGTAATTTATGTCATAAAATACGTAGCGTTTCTGACATAGTCAATTCAGAATTGACATAAATTCCAAACTGACATAATTCCATACAACACTATATATGGGAACGTAATTACCAAATATAACCAAATCGCCGTCCAAATAAGTAACGAATTCGCCTATAACGATAAAGGGTTAACATAAAATAAACGTGTGAGGCAATCTTTCCGTTGCTTGAAATGTCAATTTCATATCTATTTTAACACGTGACACAAAGATCGGATTGTGTAGGGGATTCTTTTTTTTTGGGGGGGGGCATCACCCCCCTTTAGTTAAGAACTTTAGTTCCAAAAGGAAATACATGAAAAGTGACAGCAGTTTGGTAGAAGTTTTGTTAATGGCATAAGACTGTAAATTTGAATTCAAATTACAAACACAAGCGGCGGCAAGATTTTATTATACTCATGACATTATGATAAATGGGGATACATCTGCTTTTATTTGCGCGCGATTTTTTATTTAAATAATGTAGTGATAAAAACTATATGGACAATGTTGGTACATAACATGAATCAACAATAAATTAACCGTATCTTTATAAAAGATATCTGACGACAAGTTGGTCAGTTTTATGTATTGTTGGATCGTAGTCGGATTGATTGTTTTCTGATGTACTGTATGTATGTGGTAAACATAGCGATATCATTTCGCTTTTATGTAGTGGTCTTGGTGGTATATCGGAAGAGGTAGATGACATTTGAAGGGATTTATCTGGCATTGCGAGTAATATGCAATAAAAGAAGAATTGATATCGTAATGATGCACACTTACAATGAGTTTATTATGATCTAGTACGCTGCATGTTGGTCCGACTTGTTCTTGGCAATGAGGTCGAACAGAGTACGTATGAGTGCACTGCAGTTGAGTTGAGTGCACTACGGTTGAGTTGAGTGAACAAATGTATTAATAATGGACGTTTATTTTAATAGGAGAAAGTTGTCGGAAGCGAAAGGTAGCATGCAACGGGAAGACAAACGGCGACGGTCTTTTTTATTTTGTCCAATAATACAAATCAGCAAAAGCGCCACGCCATCATATGTTCTGGAAGAAATGTAAAAAAAAGTAGAGATCTATGAAAAGTCTTGCTGAGAATATATTCCGAATTGGTTTGTCATGGATATTTTGGAGGAGGGATGTGCTTCATTATTGGCATGACCATTTGTGAAAAAATGCAACGGAAGTTATAATATATTGTGAGAGAAGTTTAATTATTGTGGTGGGACGCCCCAAACGGTTACCAGATGAGGCATAGTTCTTTTCTTCAAAGATTACATCATTCAAAAAGGCACCAATAATACTTGAATAAAGTGTCAATGTTTTTCTGTTTCTAGAATATCTATTTGCCCAGTGAGTGAACGATATTCAACAAAGGGATTTGCACCAGCAGAACGACCTAAACTAGTGTGTAGATAGACGGGAGATAGATATTTTCTTTTTGCATATGGTACATCGTGAATACATTGAGGTATTGGAGCAAGCGCAAGGTATGTTCTGTTATTACAATTTAATTTGCACCCATCGCAACTGCAATTTTTGCTGGATTGCGTGGATTAATAGTAAGATTTATTTCTGGAAATGATATTTATAATGGATATGTAATGTCATTATTATAGTTATCCATTTTGCAGATTGTGGGTATAATAAGCGTGAACGTCTGTCGTAAATCATGAAGAGAATTTGTTGAGACATTTGTTTTTGTTTTTTGTTTTTTTTGGTAGAGAAAAGGAAGATCAAAAGCTATGAGAGGAAGTGTTACGATCGAACGACAGAAGTATTTATGAATAAAAGAGCAGAAAAGCGTCTACTGATAAACAAAACTTCCTTTACTTTACTAGCATAAAACGGTTAGTTAACCTACGTGTATAAAAAAGGGTAGTAGTATGTACGAGGCGAGTGTAACACAAAACGGTCCGATTCAAAAGACGATTATTTGGTATTAAGCGTGACATAATCAGGCGAAGCACTAATGGTATATAGCAGGAATAAGATGGCGCAAGTGATAAAGTAATACATTTACCTGAAGTGAAATTATGGTCGAGGAAATACGAAAGCTATTTTGGAGAATTCTGTGGAAATAATATATAACAAGGAGTTTTGCGTTCTTTATTGTCTACACCTACGATTGAACGCTAAAGGTGTACCGAATAATATATAACAAGGCTAATAGTTTTAAAAAGAAGTTTATAGGGGCAAGTTGCTAAAATTAGATTAATTTCTTATCAGTATAAACAATGGAAGTGAGAAGTAACAATAATAAGAGCAAATTTTGATTATGCAATAATGTAAGACAATGACCCAAAAGGACAAATGAGTATGGGTGAAAAAAAGGGGGGGAGAAAAAAAAAGGGGGGGGGGGAGGAAATAAATACTGGCTACATTCGGTGAGCCGTCGCGTCATCTTCTCAAATACAAACTTTTTCGCGGACAAAACAACGACGACTGGTTCCCGAAGCCAAAGCTATTATCAAACTGAAGTCACTATAACATTAAACAGCCACGTTAGCAAACGGTGATAACTTTCAATTGCGTATACTTGCGTGTGTCCACAGGAACTGTCGTGTCTTTCTCAAACGTAAAATTTTTTTCGCAATAAGATTTTTTCCTGGTTGTCGAAGCCAAGCCCATCACTATAATCAAACCAACGTTCCTGTTGCGGTAAACTACTGTATGGTAAGTGGGGAGGGAAGAGAGGGGAGAGGGGGGGGGGGCAACGTTTATAACAGTAAAGTGCTATATTGGCAAAAATTAAGCGCACATATAACAAAAACTGGTCTGTCAGTGACTATGAAAGTTTGAAGTAGCACCCTCAAAGCAAATAAGCGCTATAACATTTAACAAGAAAACTGATTTATTAATAACTGTGACAAACATTTGAAGCGCATGCCTCAAGGCTGATAAGCGCTATAACACTGATCAAACTTTCTAAACAAATGAGTGGTACACCTCAAGGCAAAAAAAAACAAAAAACAAAAAAAAAAAAAAAAACGCTTTTTGCATAATATAACATTGATCAAACTTTTGCAAGTCATGTTCATCCTTAAACTTGCAGGAAAAAGGGTAATATTGAAGCAAGTGTGGATTAATAGTCGGGTAGTAGAAAAATTTTTTCGTGTACTATTAAACTCTGTCCTCGGCATGACGGAAAACTACCGTCTTGATAGGTGACTACCTCAACGCAAATGAGGGTTGACTTTTACTAAGTGATAGACGGAGAGGCTATTAAGCTACCATTTCTTTAACATGCGCTTTAGCATAAAAGATTTGGTAAAAAGTCCTGAACGGCAACCAAAGTGGCTTGTCCTCGGCATGACGGAAAACTGCCGCCTTGATATGTGGACCTCGACGCAAATGAGGGTTGACGTTTACTAAGTAGTAGACAGAGAGCGCATCATCAAGGACTTAATATGCCGCCCCTTATATTCGCTTGACGTGAGAACGTGCTATGTATATGGACAGCATGGTATTCCTGCTCGATGAAATTGGTGAGTGGGTGACAACGTTATAGTATATATATAATTGGTCGCATAAAATTTTACCAGCAAAGGTAGTGCAGAATATTGATTTGGGAAAAGATGTTATTACGACTTACTAAATTAAACCTTTTTTTCAGAACATCAAACGTAATCAAATCGGAAACTGAATCATTATGGATCAGTCCGTCATTACAGGTGAGAATTCTCACTGGGTATTTGTTGAGATATTATGTATCTGAAGGGACGATGCCACTGGGTGTAAA